CAGAACACGAGCCTGCGTTTCCTATCAAGAGTGATGCCGTTTGGCCATTGAAGGTTTGTGTTTACCAAGGTAGTGCGCTCGGTTCCATTTAATGTGGCTGTTTCTATTTTTGGCGCCGCTCCCCAGTCAGTCCAGAACATGGAGCTGTCGATGAAGAAATAACACAACAGTTAGGTCATGATGGTATACGTATTCCCCATATCAATTAGAACTGAAGGGGAACTAACTTGTATTGTGGTTGATTGACTTACTGACCGACTGATTTACTTTCTGACTGACTTACTGACTGATTTATTGTCTGACTGACACATGGTCTTACCGACTGATTGATTGACTGACTGATTGTCTGACTAACTAACCGATTGGCTGTCTGACTGACAGGTTGACTAACTGACTGATTGATTATCTGACTGATTGGCTGGCTGGATGCCTGCCTAACTGACTGACTAACTAACTGATAGACTCGCTGATTGACCGGCTGACTAACTGACTGATAGCCTCACTGTCTAACTGAGAGACAGGTTGGATTCCTGCCTGGTTGGATTCCTGCCTGGTTGGATTCCTGCCTGACTGGCTGCCTGACAGTTGACTGACTGACGAACTAGCTGGACGACCCACTCACTAATTGTCTGTGTGACAGCTTGTCCAACTGGCTGGCTGACTGACCGAGCGACTGTCTCTCTGTCTGTCCGCATGACTAATTGACTGGCGGACTCCATGGATATCAAACATTATGAACCGATAGACATCATTAATTTTAATATCCTCATGAACATCAGCTCACCCACGCTCAGGGTCAAGTGCAATCCCTCGAGGCTCATCAAGACCTAAAGAAATTAAGATACGTGTATTTTTGCCCTCAAGGTCTGATACTCGAATGACATCATCTGTCGTGTCAGTCCAGTACAACTGGTATCTCATCCATTCCACAGCAAGCCCGTCACAAGTTCCAGTCGTGGTATGAATTACAGTAACGTTTGTTCCGTCGATACAAGATCTCTTGATATTGAAGTCTGAAACGTCAGTCCAAAAAATGTACCCCAAGCTGTAATGAACATCAAGGGCTATGACGTTTGATAAACCCGATATTATCTGGGAACTTGAGTTGTTATCAAAATCCAAGGCCACTATTTCTGTCGTTGTTGATATAATAAAGCACGGAGGCTTGCAAGGGACAATTGACACTAGAAAAGAAAAGAAAATTTACCAAGATTGGTTAAGTGCAACTAAACTAATCAAGTTCATTTGACCAAAGCTATACAAATTCACTTTATTCTTGTGGTTAGTGTGAGCCTTGGGAGCTTCGCGAGGTGAATTTATTTTGTCTCAAATTTTCCCGTGACTCGGACACGTCATGTAGTCCGAATGTCAAGCAAACAAATAAATTAAAAACAACGAAACAAAAACATCCCGGAGTAATTACGCTAGACCATCAATCGTTGCGTTCAGGGGTGATTTTTGGGAGTGGGAGTGGGGCGAGAGCGAGAGAAGGAGAGTTTACTAGAAGGATCTTAGTTAATGCCTATGATGCAAACAGTCCGATTGAGAGCGGTGGGAGGGGGTGGGGAGGAGTAACAACAGCCAGGGAAATTGACAACCATTCCTATTCCTTGAAAATTAGGAACTTTAAGCAGTCATGACGACGATGCAGACAAGAGAATTGATCGAATTTACGGTCGTGTGAAGACTTTTGCGAGCAGCTCGAAGATTGTCATTCTCGAATCACGCAAAATTTGGAGATTTCACCCGGTTGTTTTACAGAAGACAAACGGGGAATATTAAAAGTTTTTTAGAATGCTCATGAAGAGTCTGCCCGTTAAATATTTTGTTTCACGAAATTCTTCCAGCCAACATCGACCAGATTTGAGTCATGTCCCTTCAGAACAAGTCTCTGTAAATAAAATTTGAACGCAGATAAGAAATCTTATTTGTTTGTTTGTTTGTTTGTTTTAATTCGGTTTCTGTAAGTTATTACCAGAATTGAAAATAAATGAAAAATACTCTAGTCAGTAACGGTTGCTAAGGAGATGCGGTCACAAGTTGGGAGGCAGGGTAGGAAGTGTTGCGTCACCTTTCAAAAATAAGGCTGCAAATGAAATTGACTTCCTCGTTCCATTGGGAAAAATTTTTCAAACAGTGATATAACGAAGAAAATAAAATAAACGTTTGTTCTTGAAATAACTCAGAACAACAAAAGCTATTCGATAAATTCTTGTAACAATTTAAATGAGCAAGATAGCCTTCAATGGCTGTGAAAGATTTTTTATGAAACATGACGTGAGTAAAGTTGCGTACGTGACGATTCTCATTTGACGTATGACAATAGTCTGAACGTTTCTGTAAACATAAGCAGTCACCCAATCCTCAAATGTTCACATAATAAACTGACGAATTTTTAAAATACATTTGCGTCGAATTAAACAAGCCCTGGCTGATACTCAGAGGGCAGTTTACTCCATTAATTTTCATACGTTAGTTTGTCGTGTTTTTTTAATTCGTGGAATGCAAAACATGGAGTGAATCGAACGGCATGCAAATTTCCTTACAAAACTACAATCGCAAATACTGTTGTATACGCAGTGAAAAAATGCCTAACCTTCTCTTAAACTTCCATGACTGCTCAACAAACGAATAAAATGGCCAATATATTCGTCGACTGGGGTTCTATGTGGCAGTCAATAACCTTAAGCTTATAGGTTTGGGTTTTAGTAAGTGATAATTATTCTTCCTCGTTGAATGTCTCAGCACGTTTGCCACGAATCTTTTTCATTCTCTTCAGAGATCTTGATTCGTAAACTTCTTGAAGTCAATCAGGCTCATTTGATTTATAAGACAACTGTTCGATCAAGCACAACCCACATAACCAAAAGAGAGAATTCTTTGGCACTCATCGACAGTCTCTGCCGTATGTTTACAGACGTGACAAAAAAAATTTACAGAGTAACAACAAAGTAATCAGAAATTTCACTCACCTCCACACGAAATTACTCTGCAGTGTTCTCTTAATAAAAACAAGATAAATATTCCGAATATCTCCAACAAGGCATTGCCGTTCGTTATCATCATTCGTCGTTGACGAAGAACGTGCTTACTCAAAAGCTCGAGTATTCAATCCACTTCTGTGAGTTCCTGTAACAATCGATAGGGGTGAGGTGGAGTGGCGTTTTCTTACTGTGCAGGGTGGGGTGGAGTCCTTACTTGTTATGGAGTTTTATGAATTATAATGAATTGTTAACTTATCTGCTCCAAAATACCATTCTCTTCAAATTCTGTCTTCTTTCTTACTTGTGACAAGACTGAAGAATAAGCATTTTATTAGGAATGTGTTCTAAACAGGAGCTGCGAAAGCCAATGCAGATATTATCAGATCCTGATCTGGCAAAGGGCTGTTGCGCTATCTGCCGGTAAATAACCATACTCGTTTACCGACTTGACCCTACTATACGTTTAAAAAATGATGGAAGGTACTGTAAAAATCTGTTAAATAAAATCTGCCATTAGCTGGAGCCTGTTAAGGTCTTGTCCCAATTGTAGGAAATTGAAGTTTTCATGAATTTAAAAGAGGAAAAATGTTTTAGGAAGCACGCCAAGGATCTCTCCAGTCTAAGATCGTAGTGAAAATTATTTTCGAAGCATGAGGCTGCCCATTTGCGAGTCAGATTTCGCTTTGATAAGAATCAAGAGTCAAGACTTATGTATTTCGAGAGCTGTGAGGGAAATCCAACTGTGTTTGTAGTAAAATAAACCCACGAAAATCGTTTATGTTTCTTTGTTTTGATTTTCCCTGCCGCTCTTTTGCGATTCCATCGCCGAAATTGCGCGGAAATTACAAACTATGCAATTCCGCTCTACACAATTTTTTATTTCTTTCAGTACGCATGAACATGAAATACGTCGGAATGATCATAACAGAGAATAGCCCTTTTGGGGAAAAGTTATCCAAGTCTTTGGGTCCTCTAGCACGGACTTCTGCAGGAATTTTATTGCAATTTTATGAAAATTTAGCATCTCGACGACTTTTGATAAGCTCTCATTTCGAAAAATTAATCTTCAACCGTCAAATGGCCTGAAATTTAATCGTCTTTTGTCAGAGCAGACAAGCCTTTAACAGTTAACCGTCTGACATACTTCCTCACTAAGACTCTCTTTTGATTTTTACAGATCTCTTGCCTGTTAAGTGAAAAAGGAAAGACAATTTTCCCGACATAAAAAAAGGTTTGCATTTGATTGGTTAAGCTTAGAGTGCATCTTGAGTGGACTCCTTCTCTTTCTGCAGGTTACAGCCACCGAAGTTTAACGTTCTAAACCCTAACACCAGCATACAAAATCTCCATACTGTTATTTATACAATTTCTGTGGTACTGAGGAGGATTGGTTTAACAACCGAGACATTCGTTAACTGACAATCCAACTTCTTCATTCTCATGACCTAAACACTTGATTCAGCCGCGATAGAGTAAAGAGAAAATGGATGCAAGTCCCTCTTAAGAGTCGAATGATTAAAACCGCCTGGACTTTAACCATAGGCTTGGGGACCAAGACAATCGATCGGGTAGCTCGTTGCTGTTATTTAGTACGCATTTAAAACCTTGTAGACCCCCTTACTTGCAATCAGCGTCAAAATTAGTTGACACATTTTGTTTGAAGAGTCCTATTTATGTGTAGAATAACACTCCTGTGTCTACCACACTCTAAATCATTTACAATACCCCCTTTCCCAATACGGTGTTGTCTGTATTTAGTTAAAAAATCGTGGAAGGGCGATACAACATTGTTTTATTATTTTTTTGGGGGGGGGAGGGGAGAAGGGAAGGGAAACAAAGCTTACATGTCTAAGGATTGAAGCACTCTATTTGTTTTCCATTCTCCTCCTTTTGTTTGTCACTACTTGCAATGCACTTGTAATGATATCCTCATTAATAGGTACGGTGATAGAAGTTCCTCAAGCTCAAAGAAGCAAGACAACCTACCAAACTATAGAAAATAAGCAGTTGAATTCATTTTTCCAAAAGGTAAAAGCATTTATATAATTTAGCCAGTATGTTAAAATGATGGTCAACCTTGTTTTGTATTCAGATTGATCACCATGACTGAAGGTTTAATTTTAGATATTGACTTATAAATTATCTGAATCGATAAATCACCTGAATCGATAAATCACATTCGTTTTTCTCCCATACGCATCTTTTTAGTAATAGATATTGTTCTCTAGTTCCAGTAGTAGCCTATACATTAAAAAAAGTTCATTCCTATTTCTTAGGTGCCTTACAGCGTAACTGTTGTTGTAAATATTAACAAAAGTAGCATTACGCGTTTTACCTTAACAGTTACATATATAGAACTGATATACAGTAGAACCCCGCCAATTCGAACTCAGTTTACTTGAACCCGACTCCGGTAACGCGAATAAGATTCGATTTTCCTTAAATTATTTTTTCAGTCATTTACTATCAGCTGACTCGAACCGTCGCTAGTTCGAACTATATTTTGTTTCCCTTGGGATTTTGAACTGGCGGGGATTCTACAGTATAATAAATCTATGAAGCAGTAATATTTTTATTTTGCACATGATCCATTCTGCCTTTCAGTTGGTAGATCATTGCAAATTCATCCATCCTTAGAAGAGACCATTTTAGAGTTCCAAACGTAAAGCAAGAAACCAAGAGAAGATAGTGGTCCCATCATATCTTTTGGGATAGACTTCTTTAGATCTCTGCGCATAGACAAGAAGAGAACATCTGAAAGGCAATCAGAGGCAAGTTAACAAGAAAACTCAGTGTAAGCAGAGTCGAAAAACCAAGGAAATTTCGCAATCGGCTTAGCAGAACGAAACCGATGCACGAATTGAAAAATTACCCGCTTTGGGGATTCTTTTGTTTACGTTAGGTCCAGAAATGCTTCCGCCAATTTTCCCCTTGTTGCAATCAGTCAGGTTCGTAAGGTATTTTGATTGGTGTTCTGAAACTCTTCGTTTTTTGGCTCAAACTGTGCGTGAAAAATAAATCTGAAAATTAGAATTTAGGTTTCAAAGTACCTTTTATTTGCTTTTTTTATTGCTTAAGCACTACGAGAAAGATAAATTACATGCTAACCCCCAAAAAAACCTATATCTCATGTACCTGATTCAATTCCACGTCCTCGAGGTTCATGTCCAAACTGTTCGACCGTGAGTTATCGTCTGCATCAAGTGAATCTCATGTCTGCACTTATCATCGTCAGTTTAATCTCTGCCGATGTATGGTGACTTCGCAGCTTCTCGGTCTGGATCAAAGGCCTTAAGATGCCTACTGATGGTATCATGAACCGCATCGTAACAAAGATCAACGCTCTAAACGAACAGGCTCAACATGGGATTAGTATTTATAATTAAGATACATCGGACAAGCAGGTGTCATCTCCCTGTTCAGTATCAAAATCATTGATAAAAGTGAATACGGGGCATAAGACAAATGTATCGTTACTGAGTCTTGAACATTTAGAGACAGTGACGATCCATTCTACGGTCGTAAATCGACTGATCCGAGCGCCGATGCATTGGCTCGGCTGCTCAGACTCAAACACAAGATTACTAAGCTGTTGTTAGATCAATCATTATCTACAATCGCTACAAACCTTGAAAAGACTACTTACGATCTTTTATCAATTCATGATGTTAAACCGTAAGTCATCTGAGTTCTTTAAACATAGATCGATTGATCCAGAAACAAACACACATTAGATATACCGCGTAACCATGAGGAAAATGATTGTCACCACGATGTTAGATCAACAATCGCAATCTACAATCGCAGACAACCTTAGACTAGTGAGGATCTTAGACTGATTCGTCTTCCAAGTTCATCACTAGGACAGAGGAGCAACACTCGCCAGTACTAAGTGTTCGGAAATCTTATACCTGTACAGACAAGGTCCATACCACTCCAGGTTCCATTCTTTGTACATTTCCTGACTTTTGAACCAACAGACAACATTACTCCGCACTATTTGATACTCAAAATTTAGCCGATCGAAATTTTGCAGTCTGATTGGCTTAGCGGAAAGCGTCAATGGCCATTTTCATGTTGGGAGGAAGTTGAGCTAAGAGGTGGTTTAGGAAATATTGAGGTGTGATCTTCTCTCCTTAGCCATCATACGCAGTATCATCAGAAAGTGAATATACTGCTACTTACTTTGACAAACAAACTCTTGTCCGCTCCAGGTTCCGTTGAGTAAACATCTTCTTTCTTGAGAACCATGACCTAAGTAGCGATTGTTACACAAGAACTGACAGACTGTATCATAATTTACACTTGCGTTTCTTGGGCATCCAAGTATTGCTCCATCAGTCGGTGCTGGTAACGCCGGACACGTTGCTACTCCAAAGAAAAAGAAAAGAAAACGTAACAATAATATCTAGAACTGTTGTTTTTGCACGAAAACGATCATTTCAGATAACAGACCCATAGACTTCTGGTTGTAATGAAAAGTCTAAAGCTGCAGCCCTGGTCAAATTGGAAATGACTGAATAACTCGTCTTGTTACCGAAGTCCAAAGCCAATATGTGCTCATAACTGGAAACCAAAAGACATGGGGGATTGCAAGTACGTCGTCTCAGTTCTCAAGGAAAGGAAAAAACACCAAACTATTCAAATGGCAATACTTTTTTAAACTAATAAGATGCGTGTCCACGCACCCTTTAAACCCCAACAATTGATTCAAAAAGCCTGGAAATTGCAGATGAGATTGAAGTAAATATGTTATTTCATCAGTCGCTACCTTCCACGAGGTGTCTTTCAGACCTGTCACCGGAAAGGGATAGAATTTGATACTTTTTTTCGGAGATCTCATTGTGAACAAGACTGATGTAAGTTTGTAGAATTTGTTTGCAAACCTGGTGGCTGCAAAGTGCTGTCATATCCATAGATTCCACGAGATCCGGATGGGGCGGACGAAGCAAATTGAACACTACTGACAACTGTTCCATTGGACGCATTCACTTTGAAAACGGTATTTCCATGCCATTCACCAACGAATAAAAATGAGGACGTGAAAGCAATTCCAAACAAGTTAATTACGCCTTGTATCCGACTCAGTAGTACTCTGTTGCTGCCACTATAGTTAACAGATTCTATTTGATCCTTAATATAGTCCACCCAAAAAACACGCTTTCGTTTTCTATCCACAGTGATACTATGCGCACTTGAGAGATTTGATGATACTATAATATCACGCTGTGTTCCGTCCAAATTTGATTTTTCGATTTTCGACATGGCTGCCCAAAACATTAACCTGTAAAGTAAATATCTTACGGATCAATTAAGAGTCAATAAAAATTTTCAGTGTTTTACTCCCAAACTCCTCACTTTCTACCGCGATTGAGCAAGATACATTAAATGAAATAACAGTTGTACCGTGGCAAGAAAAACAGGATGTAACAGGATGTATCATTGTCAATAATTGGTGTGAGCTTGCATTATGTATCTGTTGTACTCAGAGTTCATGTGCTCTCCTGTTTGCAATGTGTTATAACGGGGCAATGTCGAGCGCAGGATGCAGTCCCTGCTTTTTATGGTGTCAATTTTTACTCTTAAGATTCCCTGAATGTTTAGGATCTAATTTCTCTTTACATTATCATCCCTGAATCACACATCAAGGTCATGAAAATAAAGGACACATTGACAACTAGAGAAGCTATTGATCGTTAGACTAACTCTCCATGTCAGTTCTGTCACCACCCTACTGGGGAATGTATAAGGAGCGGTATGGAGAATATGCATACTGATGTTAGGGTGTAAAGGGTCGATTCATGGTCGCCCACTTAAGCCTTTTTCAGATGATTGACAGTTTAATGGCGGCACCACAGACAAATACAAGGGTTTGTGTGAAGGCTTCCAAGACTAATTCTAACACAGAATTGTTACAATGGTATTGAAAGTCATACATTCAATTTTTTCCAAACGGTATTGACTGAAGTCAATGCTCGATGGCAAATTCTTCCTTGGATCTACGAAAGAAAGTCTCCAAATGACTTAAGCCCCCGTAACAAAGGATTGATTCAAAGATAAAAAAAAATTTGAAAACGCAAACGTTTTTAATCAATTGTCTTCGATACTTGGAAAACATATGCGAGGATTCCCCTTGCTTTAACATTAAAAGACCAGTAGATCTCATGGAAGACCGAGTAAAGGACTTAAGCCTGAAAGTTCGGCAACCATCCAACTCGCGTTCGCGAAACAGAACTTAGAACTAGCCTGACCTAATACGAGCAATAGTATTTATATGATTTCTCACTCGTATTACCATTCTAGTCATTTGTTCATTTATGACGCAAGTCTGATCCACCTGGTGACCCTGACAATGGCGTCAAAATAAACAGTAATTTAAAGACACTTACCCCTGCTGCGGGTCAACAGCAATTCCTCTTGGGTAGTCTGTTGTAGAAAGGACAATATTTCTGTTGTTTCCCTCCAAGTCTGATACCGATATTGTTTTTTTGATATTTTCCGTCCAATACAACCGCATCGAGTTCCACTCCACTGCTAGTCCCACACAGTTCGTGTCATTGTGGATAACTGTAATATTTGTACCGTCCATATTCGAGCGCTTGATTTTACGTTCTGTTCGATCACTCCAAAATAAGTAGCCCAGCTTGTAATGAACGTCTACGTAATAACCATTGGCATTTGACAAATTTGAAATGACTGCAAAACTTGACTGGTTACCGTAGTCTACAGCCAATATGCGTGTTGGAGTTGAGATCAAAAGGCACGGAGAGTTGCACGGATGCCTAAGATCTGGTGAAACGGAAATATTAGCGAAAACAATTGACTTCTGAATCAGTTTTAGGAAATCATTTAGGGGTGAAGATCGATGATAATAAGTACCAATCAATGACAGTTTTTAAACATTTGGTAAGTACAAATCTCGAATAAGTCCTCTTCTCCCCTACATTAACAAACACCCTCACTAGAGATTCAAGATTCCAACTGCCCCATTTACACTGAAAATTACTCTTCTCTCTTACCTTTCCATTAATCAAAGGCTGTCTATAATACTTTCTTTATCATTCACCTAAAATAAACAGCGCTTCTTATACAACCATGCCTGCTTTATCCATTTAATCTGGTCCGTAGAGTGATTTAAGACACCCCACAAAGTACACAGACACCGACGCATCCATGGAAACTTTTGTCGCTAATACACTGATCGACCGCCGAGTGATCACTATCAATCGTTGGCTTGCTGTCACTCAATTGTGTCGATTGACAGCTGATTGTTTCCTTTTTAACACCACACATGCATTGGGTCATTTTGTTCGACCAATCGATAGCAATAAGTGACGGTTTGACCTACAGCAAGAGTTATTCGTGTCGTTAACTTTACTATTAGCGGCGAAGCAGTTAATTTGTATTTTTTTGTTTTTTTTTTTAGTGAACCCTTGTACAATATTTAATGACCCTTGTCGTCCATGTCTGAGCTACTTGCAAATTTACTCGTGTCTACATCTATCTGTTTATGAATGTATTTGCATTAAAATATACACGAAATTTGCTAAGTTAGGGCATAAAAATGTAATCTGCGATAGAATCCGTTTACGTCTCTATATTTGCTTACGTTGAATGGAATTAACTGCCTGGCAATCAGCCATTTTTTCAGAATTTGATGTTTGTTCTGGCAAGACAAGCGACTCCAAACTCCTGGGCCCAGTTGTTCGAAGGCCGATTAGCGCTAACCCAGGGTTAGATTTTAATCTGGGTTTCTTTATTCCTTTACTCTAAAGCCTTTTTGGGAAAATTTTCAATGTCCTTTTTAAAGCATCAAATAGTCATACTCTAGACAAAAAGAATTCGACTGAATTTTCTTTTAAAGCTTTTAGATCTGAAATCGGATTTCACACTAACCCTGGGTTATCTTAACCCAGCTTTGAACAACCCGACCCTGCAGTACTAATTAGAATCACCAACATGGCCGACTGTACATAGTTTAGGAACACCAAGTTAGCTGCCATGACGTCCTCACAAAACACTCTGAGGAAGGACACTAGTGTAAACTAGGAAGGACCCATTCGGCCTTAATAACGTTCAGTCGAAAATCAATTTCATCCGAAATGACAGTAACGTGTCTGGTAGCGTGTGTTAACATTAATTATGCATGGATAAAAAGCACTGAGCTGTGTCGGTGTTTTAAAAACTTTTTGTGCGGAAATACGGTGGTTATTTAACTTTCACGGCTTTAAAGAATTCAGAATTTTACCATACCTACATCTATCTGATTACAAATGTATTTGCATTAAAATATGAACAAGATTTGCTAAGTTAAGGCTACACATTGTAAAAATGTAATCTGCGATAAAAACTGTTTACGTCTCTATATTTGATGACGTTATGTGCGATTAACTGCCTAGCAATGAGACATTTTTCAGAGTTTCTATTAAGATATTTTTCAAAATTCTTTTGAGTATTTCATGTTTGTTATGGAAAGACAAGCAACTACAAGAATTCATTTTTTTCCCGTTTATTAAACATCCGAACTCTAAATTGCAATGTTCTCAACGCTTCGAAAATTCCGCGATCTTTTGATGTGCCCATGCTCGGAAATTCGCTCAGAGAGTTTTATATCTGTCATTTTTATATAATACAAATGTGTTCCGCTCTTAGAGATTATTATAGAACAAGGGGTTCAGTTGAAACTTATGCTCTTCAAGCAAATTATTATTCAACCGATTGAAAAGAGTAAGTTGGTAATACATACCTGATAAACATTTCCGGGCTCGAGTCATCGCAAATTTGAGAACCCTCTGCTTTGTTTTGGCGTTAGTTTACCCGAAAGCGCTTTTATAATTGCAAAACGATCGATTTTTGTTCCTTTAGCGCCCAGTCAGGCAGTGAATTGAAGCATAAGTGAATAGACAGAAATTTTCGAAGAGCAATTTAAATCTTTGAATGCTGATAAATCACAACTCTGAGCCACAAAATTATTATGAGAAAAGGAAACTGAAAAGAGAAAACCAATACATACCTGATGAGGCAGATACTTTGTTCGAAAGGGCGAGACTCAGAAGGAAGAATGTGCTGAGAAGTTTAAAATCCTTTCCGCTTCTGTCCATAGTTGTGTTCCCCTAGGGTATAACGAGACCAAAACTTAGCAATTTTAATGTTTACAACCGACTGATGGCTGTATTCATATTCCCGGATGTTGTGCCATGCAAGAATCAAAAGAGTGAGGGGGAGTTGGGTAAGAATGAATGGGCTTAGTGTAGTGAGTGTGGGGCCTAGTCTCGTACCTAAGCCTTACACGGCCGAGCGGTTGTAAACAGTTACACGGCAAGATCTGGGAGCAACTCCTAGGAGAGTTCCCGGTAAGAAAGTTACAAGAAAGGTGCTTTGAAACATAAAAATTTTACTTATGACCAATTTAAATTGAGTCTTTTGTACTAAAATATTATATTGGAGAAATAAATCAATTACCTGCTGAAACTCCAAAGGCATCCTGTATCTTGTGAGAGCATGATATTGAGTTCCTCCCAACCATCATCTGACCATTGTTGCTGTTTACAGAAGACTTACAAGGGGCTTATTTTTCCAGAAGTTTCCCGCTGAAGATTTTACTGACCGAATTAAACTCAGAAAAAGAAATCTCAAAAGAAAATCAGTGATAACATAAATATAAATATTGACCTTTCATTCATAAGACCATTCTCAGTATGAAAAATGTTAGCAAATGTTAGATACGTTTCCACGAAGGTCACTTGAGAAGTCACTAGAGAGTCACTAGAAATAAAGATTAAGCCCCCTTTACATGCAAACAAGATGCAGTCAGCTATAACTGTTAAGGTAAAACTTAAGTTAAAGGGAAGATGAGAGGCTTACCTCTTGCAAAAAAATCGAGGGAAGATATGATTGAGGGATATAAGAACCACTAGGATAGGCTCGATTGAGAGGCACTTTAAATATTAACTCGGAAGAGAAAAAAGCCGAAGAGAAAACAAAGGGAGGAATGGTGAATGTATCGTCACTGGGTCAAAGATACTTGGAACAGGAACGACACCACCAACATAGACGATCATTATCAATTTGTCTTTAGTGATGATCGCATGACAAAAGATCCATGCATCTCTCTCTTTGAGATGCCTAAGAATGATTGCGTTCCATACTAAAAATACTGCGCTGTTATTAGATCAATCATCTATGGTTTTTGTCATAACATTCATCCGTTATTCATTGTAATAAAATATCGAGGTTTGGAACCTTTGGTATATTAATGTCCTAACACACCGTCACAATGCCTAAGAATGATTGCGTTCCATACTAAAAATACTGCGCTGTTATTAGATCAATCATCGCGATCTACAAACTTGGCACAGCAGAAAAAGTTGATATATGATCTTGTATCGATCCAAAATCGCCTATAAATTTGCATACTAAGAAGGTGAGTCGTTTCATTCATCTATAGATGCAAGAGAGACGGCGTGGCCATCCATTCTAACACGTCAATGATTTCTGACCGCCTGACCGTTGTCATCCACAGTCATGGTGAACCAAGAAATAACTGATTATTGAAGATCTTAGACTCATCAGTGATCCAAGACTTTCATCAAATTAAGAAGAGGGCAAAATTTGCGATTAAACCACATTAATTCTAAGAAAGATGGTTTTTGCCTTGTCACGCGCGTGTGACAGAAAAAAATTCTGACCTCCCATGAAGAATCGTACCCGCAGTGAACTTCAGATTCCGCACTAGGACGCCTTACCACTTGGTCACTATGGTTATGATCGTTTCAATTTTATGATGTCTAGAAATTCACACCAGTGCATTCAAAATCTGTTCAATTTCAAACTCCATTTTCCATGCATCTCCTTACTGATGAACCTTGAGTCGACTGATTCATGCACAGATACATAGGATCAGCCGACATAAGCAATACAGAATAATAACACAACGATGTTAGATCGAGTACTGCGATCTAAAATCACTGCAAATAATAAGACTATCGACGATCTTGTATCGACTAATGATCGAAGATCGTCAAGTTATCATGTGCGATTCACAATCGTGCATCGATCGCTTCAGGTACAGATAAATTTGATGGACCACGCAGCCATAGCAAAGAATGTTACGAAAATGCCAGACTAAGACCACTGACGATCTTGTATCGACTCGATCTATGATCGTCAAATTAATGCGTCTTTCAATTCCACGTCGATTGATTCTTACGAAATGGACCGTGTAGCCATAAAAAAGGAATACGCAACGATATTAGATCGACTGTAGCGATCAACTATGATTGCGAATCCCAGTCATAAGACTATCGACGATCTTTCATCGACTGGTGATCTAATATCGTCAATTTTTTTACATGGTGCGATCGTATGTCGATTGACCAATCCATGTAGGGATATATTAAATCAACTTCAAAGTCATAATAAAGTCTGCTGCAACAATTTAGATCGACTACGGATCTGAAATGATTGGGAGCATAAGTACTGTGGACGAACCTGTATCGACTGGCGATCCAGATGGTCAAGTTATTATATAGCGTTTAACGATGGTACATCAATGATTGATGAATTATCGATTTGTAAGATGGACCGCATAAACATAACAAAAAATTGCTGCAACTTTGTGCGAACCATAAAAAAAATTTCGATGGCCTTGAATTGTTTAATTATCAAGATCGCCAATCGAATAAGTGGGCGGGATTCTCGAATGGCAATTATGATTATTTTAAGTTTTCATGATTCAGAGTTTTGCCAGATCTCTTATACCTGTACACTCAAGGTCTGTTCCAGTCCAGTTTCCATTTTCCGTACATCTCCTTCCTGTTGAACCAGTCGCTACAGATCCTTCTTTACAAGAGAAGCTGCATTCTGTGCCATATAACATCTCCGTCGTATTAGTGTTACATCCCAAGAATACACCATTGGTCGGTAATGATAACATTGGGCAGGTAACAACTAAACAAAACACAAAAATTCATCATGACGCCTTTTTTATTAGTCTCAGAGGAGGAGATGTGGTTGTTTTCAAACGCCTTGGTGAATGTGTCCAAAAAATTTCACGCTAGGGATTTGAAAGGATCTAAAATTAGGATTCGAGCCTTTGTTTGGTTGGATTTTTTAGCTCTGATTTTCAAACGATAAGTTCAATTTTGTGTAAGCTTACCATCACATCGAGGTTGCGTGCCGGTCCATGATCCATCGTTATTGCACCACATGATTTCTGAGCCAATCAAGTTGAAGCCTCGTTCGCAGGTAAAGTGACAACCGTTGCCTGGCAACCGGTTGCAAGAACCGTTCGTTCTCACATTGGGAGGAAGTTGAAGAGAATCACATATTATCCCTAGAGATTGAAAGCGATAAAGAAAAGCAGTCTGATATATCTCTCTCTGGGTTGGGTGTTTAAGTAGAGGCTCTTTCTTCACAGAACATTAAGCGTCTCTCCATCCAGACGTATTGGACCTCTTTTTCCTGGGCAAAGTGAGTATCGTTCAATACATTCCTTAACAAAAGCCATTGCGTCTGAAAACAAAATCGTTTCTAGAATATTTTTTTTAACTTACTCTCGCAATAAAACTCCCCTCCACCGCTCCAGAGCCCGTTGTCTTGGCATTTTCTCAAGCTAGAGCCAACGAGTTTATAGCCCTCAATGCAGGAGAACTGACATTCTGTGTTATAAGGGTATTCTGCTGTATTCCCAGTGCATCCATGTCGAACACTGTTGGCTGGCGGCAACGGAGTAGGGCACATCACAACTGAAAAACGTAAAATTAATCTTCATCCTGTTCTAGAAGAAATACTTTACTGCTGTTTAATTAGCTTTTCTTTTGAGAATTATGGGCGAACAGCGTAAGGAGTGCCCTTTTACCTATGGAAATATCATACTTTTTCAATAAGAATACCAACAGCACAAGAATATCTTCAGTATCCTACATCATTTCCAAACCTGGTGATTATTATCTCCTCTTTCGTGTCTGTTCTAAAGAAAACATGTAGATTGTTACATTTCAAGCACCACTAACATATGGGACGTACTTTGACAGACAAACTCATCACCACTCCAAGTTTTATTCTCTTGACATCTTCTTATTTGAGAACCAGATCCTACATAGCCATTATTGCACTCAAACTGACAGACTGTATCATAAAACTCAGTTGCATTCCCTGAACATCCAAGTTTTGTTCCGTTTGTTGGTGAAGGCAATCCTGGGCACGTGATTCCTGCAATAGACACAAGCGACTGAATTAGTTGCCAAAGTATTTTAATTGTAAACGTTTCGACGTAATTTTTTAAACAGACTCGAAGGAAACCTTTTAAAATGCGCCTGTATGGTAAAAAAACTGTGTCTAAAAGGTCGCTTAAGGTCCATAATCTCCTATTTCGCGCCTGTTCTAAAGAAAACATATAAAGTGTTACATTCCAAGCGCCTCTAACATATGGGACGTACTTTGACAGACAAACTCATCACCACTCCAAGTTTTATTCTCTTGACATCTTCTTATTTGAGAACCAGATCCTACATAGCCATTATTGCACTTAAACTGACAGACTGTATCATAAAACTCAGTTGCATTCCCTGAACATCTAAGTCTTGTTCCGTTTGTTGGTGAAGGCAATCCTGGGCACGTGATTCCTGCAATGAACACAAACAACCGAGTTAGTTGCCAAAGAATTTTAATTGTAAATGTTTCGACGTAATTTTTACTTTCAAATATCGGTAAAGAGTAGTTAATTCCTGTAATACTAAAACATTTTTAGTGCTTCAACAGACTCGAAACAAACCTCGAAAAATGCGCCTGCATAGTAAAAACTGTATCTAAAAGATCGCTCAAGTGCAGAAAAGCCAGTTTAGGTATTACTCAGCCATAAGTTCCGTTGCCATCCCATCCCTCGACGCCATTGGATCTAAACACAAAATAGCTTCAATTAATTTTTCAAACTTACTCTCGCAATAAAATTCCCCTCCTCCGCTCCAGAGCCCGTTGTCTTGGCATTTTCTCAAGCTAGAGCCAACAAGTTTATAGCCCTCAATGCAGGAGAACTGACACTCTGTGTTATAAGGGTATTCTGTTGCATTCCCAGTGCATCCCTGTCGAACACTGTTGGCTGGTGGCATCGGAGTAGGGCACATCACAACTGAAAAAAGGTAAAATTAATTTTCAACCTGTTTTAGAGGAAATACTTTACAGCTATTTAAGTAACTTTTTCTTGTGAGAATTATGGGCAAACAGCGTAAGGAGTGCCCTTTTACCTATGGAAATATCATACTTTTACAATGAGAATGCCAACAGCACAAGAATATCTTCGGTATTCTACATCATTTCCATCCCTGGTGATTACTATCTCCTCTTTCGTGCCTGTTCTAAAGAAAAAAAATGTAAAGCGTTGCATTTCAAGCACCACTTAGATATGGGACGTACTTTGACAGACAAACTCATCACCACTCCAAGTTTTATTCTCTTGACATCTTCTCATTTGAGAACCAGATCCTACATAGCCATTATTGCACTCAAACTGACAGACTGTATCATAAAACTCAGTTGCATTCCCTGAACATCCAAGTCTCGTTCCGTTTGTTGGTGAAGGCAATCCCGGGCACGTGATTCCTGCAATAAACACAAGCGACTGAATTAGTTGCCAAAGTATTTTAATTGTAAACGTTTCGACGTAATTTTCACTTTCAAATGTCGGTAAAGAGTTGTTCATTCCTGTAACACTGACTAAAACATCATTAGTGCTTCAACAGACTCGAAGGAAACTTTGAAAAATGCGCCTGTGTAGTAAAAACTGCATCCTGTATCTAAAACGTCGCTTAATTAAGGTCGATTATCTCCTATTTCGTGTCTTTTCTAAAGAAAACATGTAAAGTGTTACATTACAAGCGCCACTAAGATATGGGACGTACTTTGACAGACAAACTCTTCACCACTCCAAGTTTTATTCTCTTGACATCTTCTTATTTGAGAACCAGATCCTGTATAGCCATTATTGCACTTAAACTGACAGACTGTATCATAAAACTCAGTTGCATTCCCTGAACATCCAAGTCTTGTTCCGTTTGTTGGTGAAGGCAATCCTGGGCACGTGATTCCTGCAATAAACACAAACAACTGAATTAGTTGCCAAAGTATTTTAATTGTAAACGTTTCGACGTAATTTTCACTTTCAAATGTCGGTAAAGAGTTGTTCATTTATGTAATACTGACTAAAACATTACTAGTGCTTCAACAGACTCGAAGGAAACTTAAAACTGAAAAAATGCGCCTAACAAGTATCTTGGTGGCAAGGGCTCGAATCACATCGATCTTCAACTTTTTTTTAACTCCTTCCCCAGACCATTTTTTTTTTATCGCAACTCACTTGCGAGGATTATTTCGAGTAAAAACTGTATCTAAAAGGTCGCTTAAGTGCAGAAAAGCCAGTTTAGGTATTACTCAGCCATAAGTTCCGTTACTATCCCTCTTGTGGCAAGGTAGGGCGATCAATTTGCCTGTACCACGGATGTCTAAATGTAATATTTCTGATGCATAGACTCAATGATTCGTAACAGAATTTACGTGTACGCCTTTTCCACTGGCACTTTTCAATTTAAGCAACTGAAATCACCACAGTGTAGAGAGTTTAAACAATGCCGGCAGGCATTAAACTTCAGGCTGCCTTCTATGTCAAAGACATTAGCTCTCGGTGTCACACTCAAAACTAAGTCAATCAGGTGATACCCTCCCTGTCCACTACCTCTCCACGTACATAAATCACTCTGAAGTTTTGCTGCTGTTTTACAAACCTGATATCTGCCGATAGCTGTCATATGCCACGAGTCCATAAGCTTTTCCGTGGGACAATGATATAATGCTTACAACAGTTCCATTGAAGACATCAAATTTATAAATCCAATTTTCTTTCCACCCAGTGATGAATAAATAAGGGGAGATGAAGGAAAGTGAATAGAAGTCTAAACCATTTTGCTGAAAGAGTAAAGTTCTGTTGTTCCCATTGTAATCAACGGATTCAATTGCGCCTCTGGACTCGTCCACCCAGTAAACAAGTTTGTTTCGTCGATCAAGAGTGATACCACTTGGCCAAGTAAGATTTGACGTTACTATAGCAAAACGTTGGGTTCCATCTAAGTTTGATTTCTCGACTTTCGAGGTGTTTCCCCATGCATTCCAAAACATCAATCTATAGAGGAAAGCACTAAATTCACGACTGGTTGAGTTTTCTTGCTGTTTCCTTTCTAGAATTCCTTTTTAATTTGCATGTTTGAGTATTCCCTCAAAGCAGGTTTATATAAAATGCAAAAGGAGAGTCAACTATTGACTCTTTGCCACGAGTTTGTAACATTCGGAAACAAAGGATACGCACATATACAAATATTTATATATACACTCAATCGTTTTCAAAAAACGTTGCAATTTGAACATTTCTGTCCTATATACATATACCTTTTGTTTCCTCATCAAAAAGGTGATGGACAATGTGATGGACAATGCCTTTATGTAATTTTGACAGCAGCTACTGTATTTTCCTTTTGAAAAATTGTCCCTTTGATTTATTCTGTCACCACATTTTTAATGCAAAAAGAAAGGGAGAAAGTATTTCATAGATATTTAAACTGCAACATTTTTTAAACGGGTACATACATATAGGAAAAAAACTAAATTATACATGATAGATATCTTATTATTGTCCTGCACTGGCCTTTTTCAACTAGTCGTTAGAGCAACAAGGAAAGAGGAACTCGAGTAAATTTTTCAGAAAGTAAAGATCAAAAAGAAAAAAGAAAAAAAAAACAAGAACAACAGGGAAAGCACAAGAACAAAAACTTATGTTTCTAAAGTCGTTTGAATAACCTTTCGTACTAAACCATGTATATTAAAATGACGTTTGGTACGGCGAAAAAAATCTGAATAAAGAACGGTGACATCACCGCCGTACCAGAGAACACAGAAGAGTAAATATCTCAAGTAAAAAAACGCTAAGCTGTTCATAAGCGTAGAAAAATATTTAGCCGGGAGAATAAACACAGTAGCTTCCATTTGGTGCGAAAATCTGCTTGCATATTTGTCCTCGGAAATCATGTGTTCCTCGTAACTCACAGCTTTTATCGAGTTTCGCCCTCGGAAAACTGTACGCATCTCGGAACAGATAATGTCCGCGGACAAAAGAAAAAATTATCATGAGCGACAGGGATAAGTCCTCTCAGTTGATATTCTCTCGCCGCGGACAAATAATCGAGGATATTTTTACGCCAAACAGAGGCTATTGTTTATTCATTTCAGGGTTATATTTACCCCTCGTGTGGGTCGAGAGCAATTCCTGTAGGCGTGTCAAGATCTGAAGAAATGACCATACGCCTGTTTCTTCCCTCAAAGTCAGATACCCATATCGTATCATTTGTTAAATCAGTCCCATACAACTGTAATGAGTTCCAATCCACAGCTAGTCCGTAACATTCTTCTGGGCCATTGTAGATAACTTTTATGTCTGTTCCATCCATATTTGAGCGCTTAATGCTCTTTTCCACCCTATCGGTCCAAAATATAAAGCCACGCTTGTTGTAGTCATTGTAGTAGTAGTCTAAAGCTGTAGCGTATGATGAATTGGCAATGACCACAAAACTCGAACTGGTGTCGTAGGTCAAAGCCAAAATGCGATCAGGAGTGGTAACCAAAAGACAAGGAGAGTTGCATGGAAAAGGAATTTCTAAAAATACAAAACGTCACAAAATTAGATTAAAAAAAAACCTGATCAAATTTCTTTTTAAGAAACTCGAGGCAGTCATTCAAGGAAATTGGTTAAAAATGGAATATAATAATTTGATCATCAAAAGCAATCGACGAGTAGCATTTATGTGAACTTTATATCTTTCTGTGAATTTCTATCTTTTGTCCCAATTCTACTATGAAGAAGTATGCTCCTAGAACCACTATTTTAGCTGTTATCCTCTCCATTAGATCTTTTTCATTGCGGCCTCTGTGTTCAATTTGTGAGCACGTTTGAGATCAATTTTTGCACAACGGTTTCGGAAGCATAACTTTCCTTATATCGATATTTAGAGGTATAGATTAGATGCAGAATTTTAGTGTCGATCGATCTGATGGTCGATTGCTTTTTTCAAACATTGTTTCCTATCGCTTTACTCTTCTGGGTAAAACGGGAAATCAATGCAGGCATAGCCATTCCTACCCACTCCTTCCTACTCTGGTGCTCCATCCGAGTCAGCGGCACAGAAAACCGTGAGGATAAATAAAGACGTAAAGACATGGCCAATTCTTCGGTTATTATGTAAAACAAGTTCGTTTTCCTTTTAAGGCTATTTAATTTGTAACGTGTTTTTTAGCGCATTTATGGCGATTTTGTTTCAATCGTCGTTACACGGCTTATGATATTTTGGAATACTATATGCATTCATAAAATTCCTAACTATGTTGGCTCGACCTGTAAATCTGTTTACTGCGACGCAAAAAAATGTTTAAATTTGCTTTTGTACATTCTCGCTTTGTTAATGAATTTATCCTCTTTCTTAACAAGGGCAATTTGCTCGGCAATCAGTAGAAATTGGATTGCTTTTTCTTAAGACTCTATCCGGCTTTCATGCCGTAAAATTCCATACAAGAGACCCCCAGAAATGCGGCCCACTATAATTCCACGAATATTTGCTAACCCTGTAAGCAGCTGCCCTTCCAAACATATTCTTCATTTAATATCAATCCACAACGCAATCACATTACATCCAATAACAGAAACAACTCGTTAGGTTTGTCTTTAAATGTTGAGATCTTCAAATCCGAAAAGCACAACTTTACTTTGAAATAGGTACGGTTGCACGAGCGCACAGAATTACTTTTGACGTCATTAGTATCGGATTAGGTCGATCTTAATTTAAATTCATTTCGCCAACGTGTAAACAAATTGTATTTATGTTCTCATAACTAAACTGATCAACTGGCGTTCTTTAAATATGTAGACATATGTTTCCTTAAGTAAACTGTAGTTTGACTGACATAAAACACAAACAACTGAATTAGTTACCAAAGTAATTTTCACTTTCAAAGGTCAGTAAAGAGTTGTTCGTTCCTCTATTACTAACTAAAACATTATTACTGCTTCAACAGACTCGAAGGAAACCTCGAAAAATGCGCCTGTATAGTAAAAACTGTGTCTAAAAAGGTCGCTTAAGGTCGATTATTTCCTATTTCGCGCCTGTTCTAAAGAGAAAATGTAAAGTTTTACATTTCAAGCGCCACTAAGATATGGGACGTACTTTGACAGACAAACTCATCACCACTCCAAGTTTCATTCACTTGACATCTTCTTATTTGAGAACCAGATCCTACATAGCCATTATTGCACTCAAACTGACAGACTGTATCATAGAACTCAGTTGCATTCCCTGAACATCCAAGTCTTGTTCCGTTTGTTGGTGAAGGCAATCCTGGGCACGTGATTCCTACAATGAACACAAACAACCGAGTTAGTTGTCAAAGAATTTTAATTGTAAATGTTTCGACGTAATTTTTACTTTCAAATGTCGGTAAAGAGTAGTTCATTCCTGTAATACTAAAAATTTTTTAGTGCTTCAACAGACTCGAAACAAACAACGAAAAATGCGCCTGCATAGTAAGAACTGTATCTAAAAGATCGCTTAAGTGCAGAAAAGCCAGTTTAGGTATTACTCAGCTATAAGTTCCGTTGCCATCCCATCCCTCGACGCCATTACGTCTAAAAACAAAATAGCTACAATTAATTTATCAAACTTACTCTCGCAATAAAATTCCCCTCCTCCGCTCCAGAGCCCGTTGTCTTGGCATTTTCTCAAGCTAGAGCCAATCAGTTTATAGCCCTCAATGCAGGAGAACTGACACTCTGTGTTATAAGGGTATTCTGTTGCATTCCCAGTGCATCCCTGTCGAACACTGTTGGCTGGTGGCAACGGAGTAGGGCACATCACAACTGAAAAAGGTAAAATTAATTCTCATCCTGTTTTGGAGGTAATACTTTACAGTTATTGAATTAATTTTTTTTCTTTTGAGAATTATGGGCGAACACCACAAGGAGTGCCCTTTTACCTATGGAACTATCACACTTTTTCAATGAAAATGCTAACAGTAGAAGAATATCTTCGGTATCCTACATCATCTTCATCCCTAGTGATTATTATCTTCTCTTTCGTGTCTGTTCTAAAGAAAACATGTAGATTGTTACATTTCAAGCACCACTAAGATATGGGACGTACTTTGACAGACAAACTCATCACCACTCCAAGTTTTATTCTCTTGACATCTTCTTATTTGAGAACCAGATCCTACATAGCCATTATTGCACTCAAACTGACAGACTGTATCATAAAACTCAGTTGCATTCCCTGAACATCCAAGTCTTGTTCCGTTTGTTGGTGAAGGCAATCCCGGGCACGTGATTCCTGCAATAAAAACACATGTCGGTTAAGAGTTTTTCATTGCTGTAATACTGACTAAATTATTATCAATGCTTCAACAGACTCAAAGAAAACCTCGAAAAATGCGCCTGTATTTGTTGGTGAAGGCAATCCTGGGCACGTGATTCCTGCAATAAACACAAACAAATGAATTAGTTGCCAAATGATTTTAATCGCAAACGTTTCGACGTAATTTTCACTTTCAAATGTCGGTAAAGAGTTGTTCATTCCTGTAACATTGACTAAAACATTTCTAGTACTTCAACAGACTCAAAGGAAGCCTTGAAATATGTGCCTGTATGGTAAAAACTGTATCTAAAAGGTTTGCTTTGTTTGGGCACGTGATTCCTGCAATACACACAAACACTGAGTTAGTTACCAAAGTATTTTAATTGTGAACGCTTTGACGTAATTTTCATTTTCAAATGTGGGTAAAGAGTTGTTTATTCCTATAATACTGACTAAAACATTATTAATGCTTCAACAGACTCGAAGGAAACTTCGAAAAATGCGCCTGTATAGTAAAAACTGTATCTAAAAGGTCGCTTAAGTGTAGAAAAGCCAGTTTAGGTATTACTCAGCCATATGTTCCGTTGCCATCCCTTTTGTACCAAGGGTAGGGCGATCAGTTAGGCTGTACGACGGATGTCTAAATGTAATTTCTGATGCATAGACTCAATAATTCGTAACAGAATTTACGTGTACGCCCTTTCCACTGGAACTTTTCCATTTAAGCAACGGAAATCACCACAGAGTAGAGAGTTTAAACAATGCCGCAGACTTTAAACTTCAGGCTGCCTTCTATGTCAAAAACATTAGCTCTCAGTGTCACACTCAAAACTAAGTCACTGTCCACTACCTCTCCACGCACATGAATCACTCTGAAGTTTTGCTGCTGTTTTACAAACCTGATATCTGCCGGTAGCTGTCATATGCCACGAGTCCATAAGCTCCTCCGCGGGACAATAATAAAACGCCTACAACAGTTCCATTGAAGACATCAAATTTTAAAATCCCATTTGTGTTCCACCCAGTGGTAAATAAATAAGGGGAGATGAAGGAAACTGAGTAAAAGTTTAAACCAATTTGCTGAAAGAGTAAAGTTCTGTTGTTCCCATTATAATCAACGGATTCGATTGCGCCACTGTACTCATTCACCCAGTAAACAAGTTTGTTTCGTCGATCAAGAGTGATACCACTTGGCCCAGTATGATTTGACGTTACCATAACAAAACGTTGAGTTCCATCTAAGTTTGATTTCTCGACTTTCGGGGTGTCTCCCCATGCATTCCAAAACATCAATCTGTAGAAGAAAGCACTAAATTCATTACTGGTTGAGTTTTCTTGCTGTTTCCTTTCTAGAATTCCTTTGTAATTTGCATGTTTGAGTATTCCCTCAAAGCAGGTTTATATAAAATGCGAAAGGAGAGTCAACTATTGACTCTTTGCTACGGGTTTGTAACATTCCGAAACAAAGGGTACGTACATATACAAATATATACTCAATCGTTTTCAAAAACGTTGCAATTTGAACATTTATATTAAATATACATATACCTTTTCTTTTCTCATCAAAAAGGTGATGGACGATGCGGGTATATTTCAGATCGAAGGAACAATACCTTTTTGTTATTTTGACAGCAGCTGTTGTACTTTCCTTTTGAAAAATTGTCCCTTTAATTTATTCTGTCAACACTTTCATAAATACTTTTAAACTGCAACGTTTTTTAAACGGGTACATACGTGTTGGAAAAAAAAAAACTAAATTATACATGATAGATATCTTATTATGGCCCTAGGCTGGCCTTTTTCATCTACTCGTTAGAACAACAAGAGAAGAGGAACTCGAATAAAGTTTTCAGAAAGTAAAGATCAAAAAGAGAAAAGAAAAAAAAAACAACAACAACAGGGAAAACACAAAAACAAAAACTTATGTTTCCAAAGTCGTTTGAATAATCTTTCATACTAAACCATGTATAGTAAAATGACGTTTGGTAAGACAAAAAATCTAAATAAAGAACGGTGACATCACTGCTCTGTCTCGGTCTCATTTTTTTAGTGGTTTGTTCGTTCATTACGTCGTACCAAAGAACACAGAAGAGTAATTATCTCAAGCAAAAAAACGCTCAGCTATTCGTAAGCGTAGAAAAATATTTAGCCGGGAGAATGAACGCAGTAGCTTCCATTTGGCGCGAAATTATGCTTGCACATTTGTCCTCGGAAATCATCTGTTCCTCGTTGCTTACAGTTTTTATCGAGTTTCGCCCTGGGAAAACTATTCGCATCTCGGAACAAATAATGTCCGCGGACAAGAGAAAAACTTATCATGGGCCACGGTAACAAGTCTTCTCAGTTGATATTCTCTTGCCGCGAACGAATAACCGAGTATATTTTCACGCCAAACGGAGGCTATTGTTTATTCAGTTTGGGGTTATATTTACCCCTCGTGTGGGTCGAGAGCAATTCCTGTAGGCGTGTCAAGATCTGAAATGACTTTACGCCTGTTTCTTCCCTCAAAGTCAGATACCCATATCGTATCATTTGTTAAATCAGTCCCATACAACTGTAATGAGTTCCAATCCACAGCTAGTCCGTAACATTCTTCTGGGCCATTGTAGATAACTTTTATGTTTGTTCCATCCATATTTGAACGCTTAATGCTCTTTTCCACTCTGTCGGTCCAAAATATAAAGCCACGCTTGTTGTAGTCATTGTAGTAGTAGTCTAAAGCTGTAGCGTATGATGAATTGGGAATGACCACAGAACTCGAATTGGTGTTGTAAGTCAAAGCCAAAATGCGATCAGGAGTGGTAACCAAAAGACAAGGAGAGTTGCATGGAAGAGGAATTTCTAAAAAAACAAAACGTCACAAAATTAGATTAAAAAAAAAACCAGATCAAATTTCTTTTTAAGAAACTCGAGGCAGTCATTCAAGGAAATTGGTTAAAAATGGAATATAATTATTTGATCATCAGAAGCAATCGACGAGTAGCATTTATGTGAACTTGATATCTTTCTGTGAATTTCTATCTTTTGTCCCAATTTTACTATGAAGAAGTATGCTCCTAGAACCACTATTTTAGCTGGTATCCTCTCCATTAGATCTTTTTCATTGCGGCCTCTGTGTTCAATTTGAGAGCACGTTTGAGATCAATTTTTGCACAACGACTTCGGAAGTATAACTTACCTTATATCGATATTTAGAGGTATATATATTAGATGCAGAATTTTAGTGTCGATCGATCTGATGGTCGATTGCTTTTTTCAAACATTGTTTCCTATCGATTAGCAGAGCACTCTCACTAAGCGGAAGGAACCAAGAGTATTAAATCTTAAAAGCTTCTTCCTTACTATGCTTCACTATGCTGCTACAACTTCTATGAATGTTGGCTTTTTTCTCAAATTATATTTATATACTAATAACCAAACTAAGTCACTCTAGTGCTCCATCCGAGTTGCCGGCACAGAAAACCGTGGGGATAAATAAAGACGTAAAGACATGGCCAATTCTTCGGTTATTATGTAAAACAAGTTTGTTTTCCTTTTAAGGCTATTTAATTTGTAACTGTTTTTTTGGCGCATGGGCGATTTTGTTTCAATCGTCGTTGCACGGCTTATGATATTTTGGAATACTATATGCATTCATAAAATTCCTAACTATGATGGTTCGACCTGTAAATCTGTTTACTGCGACGCAAAAAAATGTTTAAATTTGCTTTTGTACATTCTCGCTTTGTTAATGAATTTATCCTCTTTCTAAACAAGGGCAATTTGCTCGGCAATCAGTAGAAATTGGATTGCTTTTTCTTAAGACTCTACCCGGCTTTCAAGCCGTAAAATTCCATACCCCTAGAGCGGCCCGCTAAAATTCCACGAATATTTGCTAACCCTATAAGCAGCTGCCCTTCCAAACATATTGTTTCCTTAATATCAACCCACAACACGATCACATTACATCAAATAACAGAAATAACTCGTTAGGTTTGTCTTTGAATATCGAGATCTTCAAATCGGAAAAGCACAACCTTACTTTGTCATAGGTACGGTTGCACGAGCGCACAGAATTACTTTTGATGTAATTAGCATCGGATTAGATTGATCTTAATTGAAAGTAATTTCGCCAACGTGTAAACAAATTGTATTTATGTTCTCATAACTAAACTAATCAATTGGCGTTGTTTAAATATATAGAAATATGTTTCCTTAAGTGAACTGTAGTTTGACTGACATAAAATTCATCCGTTTTCAACAGAGGATGAACATTTCTGCGTTCGAGTCACAGCAAGCACAACAAGTTTTAAAAAAAAAAAACAGAGTCGACAGTTTACTTTCTTTTAGTGTTAGTTTGTTCGAAGATAGAGGTTCGTTGTGTGATCAGGTAGTCCATAAGAGAAAGTTTTTCAAGGAACATTTGAAGTCAGGTGATGAGACCCATACTGGAAAGATATCGGAAAGATTTCAGCACAGCCCCATATCGAATACTTCATTATACTTACAATCCATGGATAAAGAAAACAATGGCGAAGACAATAGATCTCCCTTAGGACTACGGCTACGAAAGGCTACATTGGCTACGAAAGGAAATCTGAACGGAGAACATGAAAATTTACCCGAAGAAGCAGACCCCTTGTTTAAACTGGCAAGACTCAAAATGAAGACTGTGCAGGAAAACATAACACTATGTCCGTGTCCTTTGATAATTGCAATCTTTGTGATCTATCCAGGTGAAGCCTTAGTCATGCCCGGGCAATTGAAGGCTACACTCACAATCACGGATATTGAGTCAAGTAAGAAGCAACGGGAGAACTGACAATAGAGATCGCAAGGCCATAGTCTTGGTCACAACTAGAGGTACTCGGATTCGAATTTTAAAGACTGTGAGGGCAAAATTAAAAAGTTGAAATATGGAATTTGGTACATAATTAATAGCCGACAGGAGCTTACCGCAACTTCGATCCACTGCACTAAAAAACAAATTCTTAAAAAAAAAAACAGTGAAGCAGTTCATTTTCGTCGTTGTGGTTTTTGTTCAGTGAGCCCCTTGTTTCTAAAAAAAAACATTGAAGCAGTTCATTTTCATTGTTGTGGTTTTTGTTCAGTGAACCCTTGTACAATAATTGATGACGCTTGTCTACATGTAAATTTGGCTAATTTAGTGGCAACAATAACACAATGCTAAAGAGCATTTGAAAAGAGATTTTTCGAATTTTATCCACAAAGTGAAATCAATATAAAGAACCCCTTCACCTACGTACCTTGCTATCTTGTTATTTCCGTTGAAGCAAATAAGAAAAAAAAATTGCAATTAAAAAGAGTTCAGCTCCCACACGACTAATTTAAAACACCAATATGGCCGACTGTTTATCGTTTAGAAACCCAATTTAGCTGCCGTCACGTCATGCGAAAACACTCTGAGAAAGGACACAATGTGTAAACTAGGAAGGACCTATTCGGCCTTAATAAAGTTCAGTCGAAAAATCAATTTGGCCCGAAATGACAGTAACGTATCTGGTAGCGTGTTTTTATATTAATTATGCATGGGTAAAAAGCCCTCTGCTGTAATGGTGTTTAGAAACTTCTCAAGCGGAAATGCGGTGGTTATTTAAATTTCACAGTTTTAAAGAATTCAGAGTTTTACCATGTCTACATATATATGATTACATATTCATTTGAATTAAAATATGAACAAATTTGCTAAGTTAAGCCTACACATGATAAAAATGTAATCTGCTATAAAAAACTGTTTGCATCTCTATATTTGCTGAGGTTATGTGCGATTAACTACCTGACAACGATACATTTTTCAGAATTTCTATTGAAATATTTTTCAAACTTCTTCTGAGTATTTTATGTTTGTTATGGAAAGACAAGCGACTTTAAAAATTTCGTTGTTTTCCACTGAGTTTTACTAAACATTCGAACGTTGACTCGAAATTGCAATGTTCTCGACGCTTCGAAAATTCCGCGAGCTTTTGATTTGCCCAAGCTCGGAAATTCGCCCAATGATTTTCATATCTGTCTTTTTTATGCAAAGCAATCTGTGTTACGCTCTTAAAGATTATTATAGAACAAGGAGTTCAGTTGAAACTTATGCTCTTCAAGCAAATTCTTATTCAACCGATTGAAAAGAGTAGAAGTCAAGAGACAAATTTTTGAAGAACAATTGAAATCTTTTAACGCTGATAAAATACCAGACTGCTAGCCACAAAATTATCGGATCGCACCCTAAGTCTCTTAACGGGAAAGAAAACTGGAAAGAGAAAATCAGCACTTACCTGATGAGGCAGACACTTTGTTCGAAAGGGCGAGACTTAATAGGAAGACTGTGCTGAGAAGTGTAAAAACCTTGCCACCTCCGTCCATAATTGTGTTCCCCTGGGTATAACGCGGCCAAAGCTTGGTAATTTTAATTTTTGCGACCGACTGTGGGCTGCATTCATATTCCCGGATGTTGTGCCATGCAAGAATCAAAAGGGTGAGGTGGGGGGTAATAATGGAGGGGCTAACTATAGTGAGCGTGAGGCCTAGTCTTGTACCCAGACCTGACACGGCCAAGCGGTGGTAAACAGTTACACGGCAGGATGTGGGAGCACTTCCCAAGAGAGTTCCCGGTAAGAAAGTTACAAGGAAGATGATTTGAAACAACAATTTTTACTTATGACCGATTTTAATTTGGGTCTTTTGTTCTAAAATATTCTATTGGAGAAATAAATCAATTACCTGCTGATACTCCAGAGGCATCCTGTATCTTGTGAGAGCATGATGTTGAGTTCCTCCCAGCCATCATCTGACCATTGTTGTTGTTTACAGAAGACTTACAAGAGGCTTATTTTTCCCAAAGTTTCCCGCAGAAGATCTTACTGACTGTATTGAACTCAGAAAAGGAAATCTCAAAAGAAAATCAGCGATAACATAAATATAAATATTGACCTTCCATTCATGGAAACATTCTCAGAATGAAAAATTTTCAGCAAATGCTAGATATGTTTCCACGTGGGTCACTAAAGAGGTCACTAAAGAGTCACTAGAAATAAAGATTAAGTCCCCTTTACATGCAAACAAGATGCAGCCAGCTAAAACTGTTCAGGTAAAACTTAACCCTTTCACTTCCACAAGTGACTAAGACAGAATTTCTCCTTACAATATCAATACAATATCAAGCAGGCAGGTGATGAGAATAGAGAAGAATGTCAATCATGGGATTATTAGTTGATCCAATACCAAATTCTCTGAACTAACATTATAAGAATTGTATGACAGATAGTAAGGAGAATTGCTAATTAGATCTTGGCAGTGAAAGGGTTAAAGGGAAGTTGAGAGGCTTACCTCTTGTAAAAAAATCGAGGGAAGATATGATTGAGGGATATAGGAACCACAAGGATAGGCTCGATTGAGAGACACTTTAAATATTAACTCGGAAGAGAAAAAAGCCGAAGAGAAAAAAAAAAGGGAGAAATGATGAATGTATCGTCACTGAGTCAAAGATACTTGAAGAGTAACGATACCACCAACATAGACGATCAAAATCAATTTGTCTTTAATGATGATCGCATTACGAAAGATCCATGCATCTCTCTCTTTGAGATGCCTAAGAATGATTGCGTTCCATACTAAAAATACTGCGCTGTTATTAGATCAATCATCGCGATCTACAAACTTGGCACAGAAGAAAAAGTCGATAGATGATCTTGTATCGATCCGTGATCCAAGACCACCTATAAATTTGCATACTAAGAAGGTGAGGCGTTTCATAGATACAAGAGAGACCGCATGGCCATCGATACTAGCACGTCAATGATTTCTGACCGCCTGACCTCAGTCATGATGAACCAAGAAATAACTGATTACTGAAGATCTTAAACTCATCAGTGACCAAAGATTTTCATCAAATTCAGAAGAAGGCAAAATTTGCAATTAAACCACATGAATTCTAATTAAGATGGTTTTTGCCTTGTCACACGCGTAAAGAATCGTACCCGCAGTGAACTTCAGATTCCGCACTACGATGCTCCACCACCTGGTCATAATGGTTATGATGCAAAGTGTCTAGAAATTCACACCAGTGCATTCAAAGTCTGTTTCATTCCAAACTCCATTTTCCATACATCTCCTTACTGTTGAACCGTGAGTCGACTGATTCATGCACAGATACATAGGATCAACCGACATAAGCAATACAGAACAATGACACAACGATGTTAGATCGAGTAATAAGATCTAAAATCATCGCGAATGATAAGACTATCGACGATCTTGTATCGACTGGCGATCCAAGATCGTCAAGTTATTGCGATTCACGATCGTGCATCGTCGATTCAAATACAGATGAATTTGATGGACCAAGCAGCCACAACAAAGAATGCTGAGAAAATGTCAGACTAAGACCACTGACGATCTTGTATCGACTCGTGATCTATGATCGTCAAATGACTGCGTCTTACGATCGTGCGTCGATTGATTTATACGAAATGGACCGCGTAGACATAAAAAAGGAATACGCGACGATGTTAGATCGACTGTAGCGATCAATAATGATTGCGATTCTCAATCATAAGACTATCAACGATCCTTCATCGACTCGTAATCTAATATCGTCAACTTTCTACATGTTACGATCGTATATCGATTGACCCATCCATGTAGGGATACATTAAATCAACTGCAAAGCCATTATAAAGTCTGCTGCAACAATTTAGATCGATTATAGGGATCTAAAATGATTGCGAGCATAAGTTTTGTGAACCAACCTGAATCGACTGGCGATCCACGATGGTAAAGTTATTATATTACGTTTAACGATGGTACATCGATGATCGATGATTTATCGATTTGTAAGATGGACCGCATAAACATAACAAAAAATGCTGCAACGTTGTGCGAACCATAGACAATTTTGGATGACCTTGAATTGTTTAATTGTCAAGATCGCCAATCGAATAAGTGGGTAGGATTCTCGAATGACAACTATGATTATTTGAATTTTCATGATTCCAAGTGTTGCCAGATCCTATACCTGTACACTCAAAGTCTGTTCCAGTCCAGGTTCCATTTTGAGTACATCTCCTTCCTGTTGAACCAGTTGCTACAGATCCTTCTTTACAAGAGAAGCTGCATTCTGTGCCATATAACATCTCCGTCGTATTAGTGTTACATCCCAAGAATACACCATGGGTCGGTAATGATAACATTGGGCAGGTAACAACTAAACAAAACAAAAAAATTCATTATGACGCCTTTTTTATTAGTCTCAGAGGCGGAGATGTGGTTGTTTTTCGACGCCCTGGTAAATTTGTTCAAAAAAGTATCATGTGGAGGATTCGAAAGGATATAAAATTAAGCTTCGAGCCTTTTTTGGCTGGATTTTTTAGTTCTGTTTTGCGGGGGATAAGTTCAATGTTGTGTAAGCTTACCAAATCGAGGTTGCGTGCCGGTCCATGATCCATCTTTATACACCACAGGATTTCTGGGCCAATCAAGTTGAAGCCTCGTTCGCAGGTAAGTGACAACCGTTGCCTGGCAACCGGTTGCAAGAACCGTTCGTTCTCATATTGGGAGGAAGTTGAAGAGACTCACATACTACGACGCATTTGCATTGTTCATACATTGCTTAACAAAAGCCATGCGTCTGAAAACAAAATCGTTTCTACAATATTTTTAACTTACTCTCGCAATAAAATTCCCCTCCTCCGCTCCAGAGCCCGTTGTCTTGGCATTTTCTCAAGCTAGAGCCAATGAGTTTATAGCCCTCAATGCAGGAGAACTGACATTCTGTGTTATAAGGGTATTCTGTTGCATTCCCAGTGCATCCATGTCTAACACTATTGGCTGGTGGCATCGGAGTAGGGCACATCACAACTGAAAAAGGTTAAAATTAATTTTCATCCTGTTTTAGGGGAGATACTTTAAAGATATTTAATTAACTTTTTGCTTTTGAGAATATTATTCTTCGTGTCTTACATTTTCAAACATCACTAAGATATGGGACGTACTTTGACAGACAAACTCTTCACCACTCCAAATTTTATTCTCTTGACATCTTCTTATTTGAGAACCAGATCCTACATAGCCATTATTGCACCCAAACTGACAAACTGTATCATAAAACTCAGTTGCATTCCCTGAACATCCAAGTTTTGTTCCATTTGTCGGTGAAGGCAATCCTGGGCACGTTATTTCTGCAATAAACGCAAAAAACTTAAATAGCTGATAGACCATGTCTTTAATCGCAGCTCGCCTACGTGGATTATTTTCAGTAACAACTTTATCTTAAAGGTCGCTTAACCGAGGAAAAGCCAGTTTAGGTATTACTCAGCCATAAGTTCAAAAGGAAAGACAAAAGAGGCTCCGTAACTTACAGTGCAGACCGAGAAAACGAGGTTAGTAAGATATTTATTGTATCTCTGGGTTCAAACAGAAGGGAAAGAAATCAAATCAAACAAACTTTTGAATTTAGCGGGCCGTGTAGTAAAATAGTATCCGCTTCATTGACCAATGACTGACTGACTGATTGTATGACTAACTAACTGATAACACTTTTTATAAGAATACCAATAGCACAACAATATCTTCGGTATCCCACATCATTTCCATCTTAAGGGACTATAATGTCTTGTTTCATGTTTGTTCTAGAGAAAAAAAGGTAAAGTGTTACATTTCAAGCATCACTAAGAGACGGGACGTACTTTGACAGACAAACTCTTCACCACTCCAAGTTTTATTGTCTTGACATCTTCTTATCTGAGAACCAGATCCTACATAGCCATTGTTGCACCCAAACCGACAAACTGTATCATAAAACTCAGTTGCATTCCCTGAACATCCAAGTCTTGTTCCATTTGTCGGTGAAGGCAATCCTGGGCACGTTATTTCTGCAATAAACACAAACAACTTAAATAGCTGCTAGAGTATTTTAATCGTTGACGTTTGGAGGTAATTTTCACTTTCAAATGTCGGTAAAGAGCTGTTCATTCCTGTGTTACTGACTAAGACAATACTAGTATTTCAACAAACTCGAAGGAAATGTAAAACTGAAAAAATGCGCCTAACAGTATCTTTGAGGCAAGGACTCGAATCACTTCGATCCTTAACTTTTTCTAGCTTTTGCCAGACCATGTCTTTACTCGCAGCTCGCCTACGAGGATTATTTTCAATAACAACTTTATCTTAAAGGTCGCTTAACCGAAAAAAAGCCAGTTTAGGTATTACTCAGCCATAAGTTCAAAAGGGAAGACAAAAGAGGCTCAGTAACTTACAGTGCAGACCAAGAAAACGAGGTTTGTAAGATATTTATTGTATCTCTGGGTTCAAACAGAAGGGAAAGAAATCAAATCAAACAAACTTTTGAATTTAGCGGGCCGTGCCGTGAAATAGTGTCCGCTTCATTGACCAATAACTGACTGAC